CTGGACTCAAACTTTGTTCTTCTGCAACTTTTGGTAATTGGTGTGTGGGAAGGGAGGCACAGCATCTGTGTAGTGCCACTTTGTTTCTAGATGTCTGTGCATTTACCTGCAGGTGTCAGGGTTGACAACTGCCTAGAGAAAATATCTCCTGCTCCTTTAATAAAGGCTTAATGGGCTGTTATTATGTGATGTGATTTACTTTTATGCCATTAAGAGCTTCAGCTGACCATTTCTTTTTTTAAAAAGTGTTTAATAAAGGTACATAACCTTTTTTCCCTAAACCTAGCAAGTGCATGAATTTCCCCCTCTTTAGAAATTCGGCTTCTAGAAAGATGAGGATGACACCTGATCAACTCCAGCACCTTTTTAAAAACAGGTGCATAATGAAGGCATCACTTTTATAGGGGCAGGTGCAAGAAAACAGGGATTGCCCTGGTGAAGACACCAATTTTTCCACACAGGCAGTTTTGCTGCCATGTATGCTTTACAAATGAGACACTAAAAATGAAACAGGAATAACAAGTCTCGGGAGTTCCTTTCAGTATTTCAGCCTTGTAGCATTCATCTGCAGCGTAAGGCACATCCAAGAGCACCTGTCCCCGCTGTTCTAATTTTTGCAAAGGAATGTTCAAAGCTAGGATTGCCATCTGTGGTCTGAATTGTTTCTGTCCATTCTACCACCTCAGTGCTCTTCCGTCTCATTCCAACCCCATTTTCTCACATGTGTGGCCTTATCTTTACCCATATTGGAGTAAATTGAAGGGAGGAAGCACTATTACTATCCTACACAGAGTTATACCCTTTTAAGCCCATTGACATCAGTGAATTTAGAAGGGTGCAACTCAGTAACAGCTACACTACATATCTAGAAACAGTTCTGGGTATCTGACACTGTGAAAACTGCACACTAGAAAGGGGTTAACCACTAGGCCCCACAATGCTGCAGTCCTAAGGCTGCCAACCTCCAGGTGAGATCTGGAGATCTCCCAGAATTACAACTCATCTTCAGATGACAGAAATCAGTTCCCCCGGAGAAAATGGCCACTTTCAAGGGAACTCTGTTGTTATTATGACCAGTTGAGGTCTCTCCCCTCCCAAAACCCATTCCTCCCTAGGCTCTACCCTCAAACCTCCATTAATTTCCAAACCTAGAGTTGGCAATCCCTGCAGTCCTTACTCCATTTATATCCTGCCTCACTTCCCAAGGGGATCCAAAGCAGTTTACAGCATTCTTGTCTCCTCTGTTTCATCCTAACAACAAGCTTGTGCAGTAGATTTTGCTGAGTGTTTAACTGGGCCCCGAAGGAATACCAAGCATTTGTTTTGCACCTGTAGTATCTGAGTGCTTCACACACATCATTTCAATAATCTTTGCAAGAGCTCTGAATAGTAGGCCACTACTTTCATCCCCATAAAGCAGATGGTGTAGAGTTCTGAGGCTTGTCTGAGCCCAGCTAGCGAGTCTGTGGCTAAGGGAAGATTTGAGCCAGGCAGCACTCCTCCACTCTGCATACTCTCAATATCTACACACCATAGCACCACTCATGGTGCATTCCTGAAAAACTGATTTTAGTTCTATCTGAAGCAAACGCCTATCACTTGGGTTAGGTTTCCTGGCAGTATCTTGTGATGATCAAACTGCCTTATGTACAGCAGTGGCCTTATAGACTATATTTTTCGGTGATGCTGACCAATGTATACAGGATTCAGATTGCCCCCTGAGGAACGTCCGGTTATGAATGGAGACGAGGCTAGTATGTTGAAAGGAATTGGTTCCTTTTATTTCCTAATGTCTAATTCACATACATACAAAAAACAGATTCTCACACGCAACCATACAAGTTCCTCAGTATTACAGAAATAGCAAATAGTCACTTTTACACTAAATGAATGGGGAAGGGAGTAGCAAAATACTTATCTGATCAGAGGCTTGATCTTCCCAATGAAGAATAGGTGAAGTAAAACAGGATAACTATAAGTACTCTAATGCACACGGTTGGAACCTGCCAAACACGTGTGGACCTCTTGGCTGCAGTCCACGAGGTCAAAGAGGAAAACAAAGGATTGCAAGAGCAGCAAGACTGCAAGTTAATAGCTAAGGTAGGAAGGTGGAAGGTGGCTAGCAGGGTTCAGGATGCTGAACACCACTTTTATAGGGGATCCTTGGGGGCTGGCATCTGTGCCATCCTTCAGGTTCCACCTACCTGGATAGTCCGTCCCAGGACTCTATACTATTGGCTATATGGCATGATGTGCCTTACCTAGAGGGAGTGGGCAATGTTGAAATCTAAACCCCTAACTCAAGGAAGGCATCTGTTCAAGGTGTGAAGTTTGGGTACCTAGGTAACCATTGAAGTGCAGATGGATCTAGCTCTGTCCCGGGCCATAAAGTAGTCCTCAACCGGAAACTGTCCTTTCTGATGCAAACCAGATAGCAGGGTTACGTGTTGACCAAAAGTTCGTCAATGGTGGTTACAAACATGCAAGTTGTTATTTTGTGCTGGCTATAAATGGCGGTGCAGCCTTCTTCTCCAGGCTGAGCTGTGTGAGTGCAAAGCTCTATTTGCATAAACTTTGAGTGCAAACTCCATCTGCATAAACAGCAGGCAAGAAAGCCTTTCAGGTGAGACAGTCACAGTATTCAAGGCAAGCAGCTTTCTCCAACACATAGAGATTCACAATCACAGTCCAAGTACATGCATATGTGTCAGCAACCACAAACATATATAAAGCAAATATAACACATGTCCCAACAAGGGGAAAGACTTAGATGTGCTCAGCAGTGCTAAAGAAAAGGGAGCGGTGGCGCAGGCTGTAAATGCAGCCTGCATTAAAACATCTGGCCAAACCGTGGCCGGAGTGAGCTCCTGGCCCACGTCCCAGCTCCCGCCCACCCAGCGGTTCGAAAGCCCGTTAAAGGGTGAGTAGATAAATGGGGACCTACCCTTAGTAGGGTAGGGGGCACCTTCCTCTCTCCTGAGGTGTGTGGTGTGCGGTGGAGGACCAGTGGAGGAGCAACGGTAATGGCGGCGAAACGGCGATGGCAGAGTCCTGGAGTGGAGCAGAGACAAGGTGGTGCGGCGTGGTGCAGCGACTGAAAGCCAGAAAGAGTGATCCCTGGTGGCCAGCGGTGAAACAACAGAGGCGGCCATCGCCAGCAGCAAAGAGGCGCGGAAGACGTCATCTCCCAGCGCGGCGGAGCCGACTGGACACAGCCGGGGCCAGGGAGAGCGGATTCATGCGCCGAAAAAGCAGCCACCTGCCGGAAGCACCAGAGGAAGGAGAGACGTCCCGCTGGACTGAGGGCCGAGAGACATCTGCAGCCGAAGAAGCCGGAGGCCGGAGAAGAACAGTCACCACCGAGGGTGCTGGTAGGATGACCCAACCCCTGTATGAATTGTGGCTGTAGTTTGGGAATGTAACAGGTGACTAGCACTGGGGTTAGGGCGGTATATAAATCGAATAAATAAATAAATAAATAAATATAAATACAATTGAATACAATACAATGACAACAAAAAGTTTATCTGTATTTTACACAAGTCTGGGCCAATGGAGTCTTTCCGTAGGTTACAATTTTTCTGTATATACCTAAATAATTATTTCCCCCTTTTAAGACCTCCACCCTCTTTTTACAAACCAAAATCCAACTTCTTCTTTTTTTCTGCTTGCCCATTGTTGGGGGGCAAGGTTTATTAGTTTTTTTAAGTTATATAAAACAAAAAAGAGAGAGCCATACACTTCAAAGGTATCCCGTTGCCTCGTTCATAACGTCTTTAGATATATAATTCCCTTTTTCCCTTGTTAATCTATATTCCACAACAGATGTCATTAAGTAAAATTCTGTTCCCAATAAACAATTCATTTTTTCTATATCCTATCTGCTATTACTATTATCAATCAATTTTATAACCATAAAAATATATTAACAAAAAACCCACAGATATTTCACAGCAGTTAGACAGTTCAAATTTCTTATATAATATCAATCTAGTCCCTTTAAGATATTCTTTCATATTTTTAGTATTGTTAGCTTTCAAAATCCCCTTTGTTTGCAAACCTAAACGTAGTAATTTATATTTTCTCCATAACATCAGCTCTCAACTTTACAAT